ATTATCTCCTAGTCGGGCATACCGACCGGTGTTTTCTTACATGGTGTGCATTAAATTTCAGCTTTGTCTCATCCTGGCTGGAAACGCGTGCGAATATGATCGAGCGGGGCATACTGACGACGCTCTTCGAAAAATACTTTCCCAGCCTGATGCAGAGGCAGCGGGACTTTCGTCGCATTACGCCCATCACGAACATGGCCATGATTCAAATGACGTGTCACCTGCTCGAGTGTTTGCTGGACAGCGACCCAGTTGAGGATGACGCTGCACATGGTGGCGACAAGCATCTGGGTGTCAATTCGCACAGCCAACACCATGGCGAGCTCTCGCATGAGTCCGTCGAGCTGGCGTTAGAAACCATCTTTGTGTATGTTACGCTTTGGAGCTTCGGCTCGGCACTGCATCAGGACACGATTGTGGACTGGCAGCGCGAGTTTCACAAGTGGTGGACGGGCGAGTTCAAGGATGTCAAGCTGCCCAGCCAGGGCACCATATTTGACTATCAGCTTAATGTGCAAACATTGAAGTTCCAGCGCTGGTCAGAGCTGGCCGCTCTGGAGCAGCTCGAGTGTCAAATCGATGCCGAGCAGCCGTTGCAGGTGCGTGCTTGACCTACTTGGAAATGAACTAATCATGCGAACAAAGCTTTTGGTTACACACTCACACACACACACATACACTGGCACACATATAATCACACACACACACAGAACGTGCTCATTTCAACTGCAGAGACCACACGTCTGGGCTACTTCCTCAAGCTGCTTATCGACCGCAATCTGGCCTGCATGCTGGTGGGCAGCTCCGGCTGCGGCAAGGGTGCCATCTTCCGTGAGCTCTTCAGCAAATATGCCAGCGCACAGGAGCTGCTTGAAATTGCCGTGACAGCTGTCAGCGGCAGTCAGCAGCAGACGCCGGCCGTTGCAGCCAATTCTGTTGCCGCTGGCGCTGGCGCTGGCGTTGGCGTTGGCGTGCGTCGGAAGCTGTCCTCGTCGACACCGTTGCTGACCACAGTGCAGGCGACACACTTTAACTTCTACACCTCATCGGAGATGTTCCAAAAGATGCTGGATCGCCCGCTGGAGAAGAAGTCGGGGCGCTGCTACGCGCCCAGCGGACCGAAGCGCCGACTGATCTACTTCGTCAACGACCTGAACATGCCCGAGGTGGACGCCTATGGCACTGTGCAGCCGCACACCATAATGCGCCAGTTCATGGACTACAGGCAGTGGTGAGTGGTGACAGAGCAGGTTTCCTTGCATTTAACAGCAGCTGAGACTCTTGCCTAGGTACGATCGCCAGAGGCTGCAGTTGAAGGACATACGGCATTGTCAGTTCGCGGCTTGCATGAATCCGACGGCTGGCTCCTTCACCATCGACCCGCGGCTGCAGCGCCACTTCTGTGTGTTCTCGGTCGCTCAGCCCAGCGAGGAGACGCTGCACCACATCTACAGCAGCATCCTGAACAGCCACCTGGAGCAGCCGGCGCTGGGCTTCAACAAGGAGATCCGCTCCATTGGCAATCTCCTGGTGCAGGTGGGCATCGCGCTGCATCGCCGCGTCGAGTACGCCTTCCTGCCCACGGCCATTAAGTTCCACTACATCTTCAATCTGCGCGACCTGACCAACATCTACCAGGGCGTGATGCACAGCGTGGGTGCCCCGGTCTGCGCGGGTGGTGCGGCCAGCAGCTACAGCGGCACTGTCTGCAGCAAGCCCGCCGAGCTGATGCGCCTCTATGTGCACGAGGCGTTTCGCGTCTACCACGACCGACTGGTCGACCAGTACGACATCAAGTCGTTCAAGTCCTCCATTCGGGACATATTCAAGAAGGATTTCGAGGACTTTGACGAGGACTTTGTGTTCGCTGAGCCACTGATCTACAGCCACTTTGCCCAGTCGCTGGTGGACCAGAAGTACATGCCGCTCAAGAGCTGGGACTCGCTCTACCAGCTGCTGCTGGAGGCGCAGGCCAGCTACAACGAAATTGTGGGCTACATGAACTTGGTGCTATTCGAGGATGCCATGATACACATATGTCGGTAAGCTGATGATGGCCCAAATATGATATATGTAGCTCAACTGAAAAAATCTTTAACTGTGCTTTTCCCTCCCAGCATCAATCGCATCCTGGAGAGTCCACGTGGCAATGCTCTGCTGATTGGTGTGGGCGGCTCTGGCAAGCAGACTCTGGCACGCCTGGCCGCATTCATTTCCTCGCTGAGCGTGTCGCAAGTGCAAATCAAACGCGGCTTCGGGCTGCTCGACATGCGGGACGAGATTGCAGCGCTGTACATGAAGGTGGGCCTCAAGAATGTGGCCTCGGTTTTTCTCATCTCCGATGCTCAGCTGCCCGACGAGTCGATACTGATGCTGATCAACGATCTGCTCGCCTCGGGCGAAATACCCGAGCTCTTCAATGACGATCAGTTGGAGACGATCGTCAATGGCATACGCAACGAGGTGAAGCAGAGCGGCACCTTGGACACCAAGGAGAACTGCTGGCGTTATTTTGTGGAGAAGGTGCGACGACTGCTCAAAATCGTGCTCTGCTTCTCGCCGGTGGGGCAAACGCTGCGCATACGTGCCAGAAAGTTTCCGGCCATAATTAGCCGCACGGCCATTAACTGGTTCCACGAGTGGCCACGCAGTGCCCTGGAATCGGTGTCCCAAAAGTTTCTCACCGAAATCGGTGACATATTGGAGGTGTGTACGATACGCTGACTTTATTATTACACGCGGCTGTCCGGCGCCGCTTACAATTTACAACTTTAAACTGTCAAAATGACAACAGAAGGTGCCACAACACACACACCCACACACTCATGCACTCACACACACAGCCGTTACTCGATAGCCAGAGAAGTCAACTGACGCCCATTCATTTGCAGCCCGAACTCGTGCCGCCCATCGCCTGCTTTATGGCCTACGTCCACGGTACTGTGAATCAGATATCGAAAATTTATCTACAGAATGAAAAACGCTACAACTACACCACGCCGAAAACCTTTCTCGAATACATTTTCCTCTACCGCAAACTGTTGGTCGACAAAAACGGGGAGTTCGCCCAGCGCATCGGCCGGCTGCAGAGCGGCATGGCCAAGCTGGCCGAATGCGCGCGTCAAGTGGACACCCTGAAGGTGAGCGTGAATAATAATGCAATAAAAGCAGAGTTTAACCAATTTAACGACC